TTCCTCCCATTGGAGAAACTATAATTGGCAAATGTTTGTTGTTCTTGCCAAGACTTGATCTGTTAACGTTTTCATTAATCCGTCATATTCCTTTAGCACCAATTGTAATTTATGATCAAAGTGAAGTGGGTTTCATGACAATACAGCAGGTTTCATTTTTTAAAGACAGTTTCTAGTCCTTACTAGTTTCTTTGAAAACTGTACTAAAATACATGTAAATCAATGGCAAACTTGAAGGTGAAAATCCAACTCAAACATCCATAATGCTATTGGTAAACAGTCAGCACTAAGTTCAAGTAAACACACTAGCAGTATTTCCGTTATTACCCGACCTTGACCCTAAAAACTTCTAGAAGTCCTGAGTAATATTTGCTAAATGCTCTCCCAATCCGGTACACTGAAATCTTCCCGTACAAGTTGACTGTTTCTACTGAAACGCTGTCCCACAGTACGGTCTTTACTGTGATATACAGTCAGTTTAGGCAGTGCACATCCCCATGCACTCTGCAGACCCTGCGTTTCCCTCTCTTATGAGTCACTGCGGGTGAGAATAAAGATTGGGTTCATTTCACTGTGATCAGCAACAAGCTTGAATTCACACAGACAGAAAAAAGGGGAAGAAGGGTTGGGTTCTGCTTTTCAAGGAAGCGACAGCTCACATCTAAAGCACTCGGACCGCAGGTGTTGTTGAGATGCAGGATGCAGCGGGAGATGGAAAACTGACATGTAGAAACAGTGTGTGTGCGAGTGTGTGTTTTGCAGACTAACTAAGAGAATTGGAAAGAGAATACTGATGGACTACAGCTTCTGAGAGCTGGCTGAAATGTTGTTGGAATTTCCCTCCGAGCAGAAAAAGACATTCATGCACACACATGACTACAAGGTGCAGAAAAAAGAAATGTCATCTTCAATCTTGACACCCTTTCAACCTCCTTTTCTACTTTCACGCAACCAAAGCACACTCGGTGAGGTGAAGCCGGAGTCATACAGTCCCTCATTTCACACAGACGTTACCATGACGCAATAAAGCCATTTTTGCCCGTCAGCTTATGTCACTGGAAAGGTATACCTTGCTTTCAGACTTCCAATTTCCAACATTGTTAGTAGGGTAAGGTACAAAGGAGCAGTCTAACAGCTACTAGCTCCTGATTAGTATGAACTAAATTATGAATGACCTCCTGGAAAGTCATGGGTAATCAATCATTCCTTTTGGAGGGTTTTCAATGTCCCTACTGTGAAATGAAGCTGTGTCTGATACTAAAGATATGTCTCAAAGCTCTATTTGTTTTTCTGTGGGTCGTAGTTACATTAGTTTAATGTATTGGAAACTAGAGAATATTATGACTTGCGTAAAGGCACTGCCGGCCGGATTTGAACCCAAGATCATGGACCATCAGCTCTACTAAATGACTGATTACCCGAAGAGTAATGGATCGCTGTAAAAGATCACGATCTACTCTTTGTTCCGAAGTCCTGCTGAAGTGTTTCATTGCTGAGGTGTGGCGGGGGGATAAAACATCTGCAATGATTTAAGACAGCAAAGACGACGGAGATGTTCACTTCATTCGTCTAAGTCACACTTCTTAAACCTTATTTCAGCTTCATCTGTATTCAGAATGCATTCAACAGATGTGACACCGGCACATTTTGGGATAACACGCCATCATGATTTGGGATCGTCTGTTAAAAGTGACGGCTTTTCCACTCATAATGTTAAAGGAGAGGTGTCATGCTTTTCCGGTTATTACCCGTCCCCTTGTGTGTTATGAAGGTTTTTATGCATGTAAACGGTGTGCAGAGTCACAAACCCTCAAAGTACACCCTGTAGGGAGTAAAACTCTAACACAGAAAAGACCTCCCCAAAATGCCTCGTTGGAACTTTCTCATGTTCTTCCTGGGCATTGTGACGTGTGGATACCCAGTAGCCACGCCCAGAGCTATGACGTGATATTGTCATGCGGTACCCGGAACCAAATGGACCAATCCGTGGAGCCGTTACGTTACGTCCGCGGAGCCGTTACGTTAAGCCCCCGCTGATTGACGGACTTCCTCACACACACACACTCAGTGCAGGCAGCTCTGCTGATTTCTCCTCCCTGGCTGCAGGCTGATAACAGACAGTTGGGATCGCGGTGAAATTCTCTCTGCAGACCCATTCTCACAGCGTTTATCAACCTTTTTCTTACTCAATATCAAGCCACACTTATTGTTTTTACTTCGGATGTGAGTTTGTGTGTGCTCAGGATGAGTTTGGCTGTGTATCGCTATATATAAACAAGGAAACCACACCTCCACAGAGCTCAGCGCGATTCACAACGTCCCGACCAATCAGAGCACACTGGGCTCACAGGGAGGGTGGGGGCTGGAGCTATTGGAGCTACAACGAGCCGTTTAGTGGAGAGAGTGAATACTGCTGAATACACACACTTTACAGAGATGCTGTATGCGAAACCAATGTGAGTTTGGAAAAATGCACAGTATAAATCTATTTTAGTATACCTCAACAATGGAATTATGATCAGTGGAAATGGCCATGACACCTCTCCTTTAATGTCAAAATGGCTCTGATGTCCAGATTAATGTGACCACTCCAATTCTAGGTTTACAAGATGAACCAATTTAGCAGTTATGAGTTTAAACACCAGCTCATCTTGCAAAACTGCGCACAGGATAGTAAAACCACAGAAACATCCAAAATGATTGTAACTTAGCAGACGTTCTAACGCTGGTGTTATAAGTAATATGTCTTTTAACTGATTTCTTCAATCGGATATAACAACTTGATGATAAGTCCCTCCTCATATGGCCGTAAATTCAGTCAAAGTTGCCCTAAAGCTGCCTCAGAAACGATTTTATTTCCAGTTTTTCAATGGAAACCTCATTTGTTTGGTTGTTAAGCACTTTGTCCAAGTCTGGATGCCTCGTGTTGTGTTTACTGCTGCATTTCATTGGTTATCTTGTTTTGTAACTGAGTGACTTTATGGAAATGCCTGATATATCAACCACAAGTGTATTATTCAGTGTTACTTAATGAATTCAGTTCTGACACAACTTCTGGTCTTGAACGCTGATCACTTCCTAGTCAGGTGACACATGATGGATGAGGAATATCCCACAAGAGGGCACACACACACACACACACACATACGAGGAGATGTGACATGTCAGATGGACTCGATCAACCTTTATAGACACCGCCAGATTGTTCATAAAGATATCTTGACACAAATGTATCTCAACGCTACTAAAATATCCTTGGAAATCCCTGATATTTAACAGTTGTGTTGTCTTTCTGGTCTATTCCCATCTGAAGAAAAGACCATTTCTTGTGAGAAGTTCCGCCTGCTGGGTCTCTCAAAGTAAAAAGGATATCTAAAGTGATTTGGGTCTGCGGGGGTTTGTATTCAGAGCCCACCCAGGAATCTTCGCGGGTATTTCAATGACTGGTTGACAGTTCATCCCAGAAAAGAAAACTGACATTTAGACTTAGAGATGTGCTTATGAGCAGCTGAGTCATGACTGCTTTTATCATCCAATGAAAAAGCTATTTGGAGATATCTGGGCTTATTACCTCTCAGGCTGAAATGTTCTCTGTCATCAAAGGAGAAAATAAAGGTATTAGGGAGACACTGCGGCAAGGGACGGGGAAGAGTTACAATGATGTTTAAAGGAACAATATAGGGATATGTTTTTCTGGGCCTGTCAAATCATCTTCCCGTAACTCGTTTTAGGTAGAAAGGCTAACCCTCTTCAGGTTACTTAAGAATGTAATTGTATTTAAAGAAACTCATATTGTATAAATTGAGAGAAATATCCTTTGGAAAGCAAAATACGATTTCTCGCAGTTTCTTGTTAGAGACCATGTGTCAAGCCTTAGTTCTTAGCACAGTGGCACCGTTCAAATGAATGCCCCTTTGTTTGTCATTATTACTAAATCTATTCTCCATTTCTCTCCATAGTAACACATAAATAGAAATGCAAAGCAAAAATGTGGGTTTCTACTACTCTAACATCTGAGCCCGCTCGCACTACTTCAGATCTTTGACCGGCTTTAGGATGTCGCCGAGCTTATTGCCATACCTTTGCATAAATATCATCTCATTGAATGTTCTACCATGACATGGGAAACCATTTCTGACCATTATATCCTTCTTAAACAATTCACATGAAATGTACGTGGAATGAGAAGATTACTAACTTAATTGTCGTTAATGATAAAGCTTCTGAGTTTGAAGAAGCCTTACTTTACGTTGAAGTTAAATGCAAAAATAAGATAACGTTAAGGTATTTAAAACTTTTAGTAAGGGTAAAAGGTGGGTGCATTATGGCTCAGGGCAATGTACAGGACTTGTTGAGCCGGTCATACAGAATATAGACCAGTGAACTGTACACAGGTACAAAAAACATATGGATATAGACAAAACTAAAGAACGAAGAAGGGTTTACTGTGACTTTCTCGTTATAAATTGAGAAACTTTTAACTTTGTCCTACATGTTTGATCGCAGACTACAAACATAATGGTCTAGTTTGACCTGTTATGAAATGTTCTTGATTTAGCAAATGTTTTTTCATGTTCATGGCTCAATGTATCACTGATAAAGTTTAAGATTTTAAATGAGACCCTGATTGACACCAGTTAATTCCACAAATATTGAGCATAGAGTATAGTGAATATTTAAATTATTTTTGGGGGAATTTCCCACCACAATTCCACAAAAATGTGCACATCTTAAAGCATGTATTTTCTCCTTATTGCCCATATATGGGACCTTCCTCATCACTGACATCATGTTGATTCTGGCCCATATGCTATGGATCATAATCCCATAAAGTATTTTCTCTAATCCACAGATAATTATGGGAAGTTTTTCTACTCCTGAATGCTAGTGATTTAAAGAAATTCTGTACATTTCCACAAGTAGCTATAATTAAACCCGCCGACACACAGCTGTAGGACATCTTCCAGACATTTTAACGCAGCAGCAGCAGAGGCACTTACATGGAGGTGATGTTCTGGAAAAGGTCCTCGATGCTCCCGGTGCTGTTCCCCCCGCTGCCGGTGCCCTGGAAGGACAGCAGCGGGAAGAACCTGCTGTTGTCGGACTTATTGCAGAAGATCTCCGTGGGCGAGCAGGTGCAGGTGGGCGGACAGTCCAGCAAGGAGCTCAGGTAGTTGTGAAAAAAGACGCTGAGCAGAAAAAAGACCTTCCAGCTGCACAATATCCTGGGAGGGCGACGGACGTCGAATGCGCCAAACAACGCGCCAAATCCATCCATGCTGTCACGATTCAAGTACCCAGATTTCTTCGCAACTTTGCAGCAAAGGAAAAAATGCCTCAAATCCTCCTGATCATAGCGCGTACGTGGGTGTGTGAATGCGTAACCGGTGTTCTGATCCTATTTCGCTCAATGGATTGTTAAATAACAGAAAAATCATATCTCCTTTTGAGTCCGTGCGTATCCATATGTGTGGGGGAGTGTGTGTGTGAATGTGTGTGTGGGTATGTCAGAGGTTTTGATGATGCCAGTCACGGCTCTCCTGCGCGTTAAGAAAATTCACCGCGGAGCAGGAAAACGGAGAAATCCCGAATATATTCCAAGTCCATGACATGAAGAGATCTGAGCGCATTCCCCTTTTTCTCTTCTCTTCTCCTCTTCTCTCTGCATCGCTTTATGTCATCCCTCCTTCTCCATCTCTTCACCTCTCTCTCTCTCTCTCTAACGCTGTTGCTGGTACCCGGCTGGGGGGATGGTGGAGAGACATAGAGAGAGATAGGGATGTGAGAGAGAGAGCTAGACTCCATCCTCCGAGCTTTAAGTCCCACCTACCGGACGGAGTGGAAACTGACACGGACGCACGCACACAGAGGGACGCACACGCGCTTTTGTTGGTAGTGAGTGACCCCACAGAAAATAATGTACGTTTATCCCCTCCCCCTACACACACTTTTCAGTTGTGTCTGCTGCCATCCCACATCATGTCCAGCACCATACATCCTGATTCCTGTCAGTGTGTTTATGAACATTAGCAGCTGGACAGAGCCCCTGAGGGCCTGTGTCCACACAGTGCCTTTTTCTGGGGGCCAGCTTATTTTTTTTTCTTAGTTGTTTTCTACGGTGGTCAACAGGGGCAAGCAAATAACCATACATTAGGAGAAACCATGCAAATATAATAACACAAATGTGCCAAAACACATGCAAATGAAGAAACATCTTCACCAAATTGACATAACATGCACATATATATATATTCGATATTAAAAAAGACAAGATGGTGATTCTATTCATTCATAAAAACAGCAGTGATACATTGTAAACATATCGTAGCCATGCAAAGTGCTAGGAACACTACGAACAACAATTAAGCTCCATGTGTTTTACCTGAAGTCTTGAGCATGGTACATCATTATCACACACCTCTGTTAAGATGCTCACACATTGATGTAGACCAGGGGTGGGGAACCTTTTTCCTCTCAAGGGCCATTTCAAATTTTACAACATCCTCCGAGGGCGAGAAGTACTCAGATCTTGTACTTGAGTAAAAGTAGAAGTACATAGTGTAGGAATACTCTGATAGTAGTCCAGCATTCAAAAATGTTACTCAAGTAAAATTACAAAAGTATTAGCATCCAAATATACTTCAAGTACCAAAAGTAAAAGTAGTCATTGTGCAGATTGGCCCATTTCAGAATATTATATGTTTTATAATGATTGATCATTAAAGTGTTATCGAAGCTGGTAAAGGTGCAGCTTGTTTGAATGACTTTGTATACTGCAGGGTAGCTTGTGAATTTACTCCAGGTGGAAATCCAAAGCAGTAAAGTAACTAAAGGTATTAAATAAATGTAGTGGAGTAAAAGTACAAGATTTACCTCTGATTGTAGTGGGATAGAAGTACAAAGTAGCATACATTGCCAATACTCAAGTAAAGTACAAGTATCTCAAAATTGTCCTTAAGTACAGCACTTGAGTAAATGTACTTAGTTACTTCCCACCTTTGCTATTTTAAAGTTGTTGGAGCCTATAGCCACATAGATAGAATCTTTAGTTACTTTTGAGGGACGCTATTACCCTTAGTACAATCCATTTGGCCTCAACCCAAGGTTTATTAAAGGGCCCATGTCATGGCCATTTCCACTGATCATAATTACATTGTTGAGGTATACTAAAATAGATTTATACTGTGCAATTTTCCAAACTCACATTGGTTTCGCATACAGCATCTCTGTCAAGCATGTGTATTCAGCAGTATTCACTTTCTCCACTAAACGACTCGTTGGAGCTCTTGCCCCCCCCTCCCTGTGAGCCTAGTGTGCTCCGATTGGTCAGCTCGGCCACTCTGTTCTGATTAGTCAACCACCAGAGAGGCTCCGCCCGCTTTTTTCGGGGAACATCAGTGTAATGGTACAGCTGATATTTTATACTAACTAACCGAACTGAACCTACAACTGTTGTTATAGAAGAGTGTGACGGCCCCAGGGCCTTTGTGCAGGTGTGTTGCAGGGCTTACGGTGGGGTGGAGCTGAAGAGGGTAATCAGCGCGATCACGGACACCTCCGTAGCCGGTGCTATTAATCCCAGCGACCCGGAGTCTCTCTCCAAAGCGGCTGCAGAAGGACGAACTGAGCGACCCTCTCCCCTCGACCACCTATCTCTGCATTTACCACAATAAATGTGCCGTGGTTTTGTAAACTCGTGTATGTCTCCTTGCCTTTCCGTTGTGGCCTACGAGCCGACATAACAAAGAGTAAGTTATTTTTACCTGTAATAAACTACTACTGTTTGATGAGAAATCAAATCATGGTTTGCTAATATATGAATTCAGGGAAGAAAGGATAGGCCTACTAAGTATTTCCATTAAACTTTATTTTTAGAAATGTACAAAATGAACATAAATATACATATACACACGGTATATCATCCATTCCTCCTCCTCTTGCCTGCGCACAGCCGGTGCGGTGCGGTGCCTTTTAGCACGAGGCCTCAGTAGTAGTAGAAGTCCCGTCCCCGTCATGGATTGTCCGCCAGGATCTGGCTGGACGAAATCAAATGCAAATCACAAAATATTAGAGAAACTTAGTTGTTTTAGATTCGTTAGTAGTAGTGTAATGAACAGCTTGCCTGCTAATATGCTAACCTAGCTTTGTTTACCTTGGTAGCTAACACGATATGAACGTTAGCTTGGAGGAAAGGCAACTATAATGCAGTGTAATAAAACTACTATAAACAAAAGCTAGTGGTTCATATTAGGCTAGCAATAACGTGTTTATAATTGCAATCGTATACGGGTATTCTGCTACCATACAATGTAACTTGCATGAATACATTGTTTTGCGCTAGCATACAGCTAGCCTCGTTAGCTACATGCCGTATATGTACTGTCACAATGTACGGTAAATCACCCGGACTATACTGTATGAGTATTCCGTGTGTGTGACTGCAGACATTCTCCTGCCATGACAAACATGTAAGGCCATCTGCTGACATTGTAGTTGATATATTTAAACGCTAGCAACGTAGCATCACAAAAATGTTTTTCCGACCAAATCTAGCTCTAGCTCCGTGTGTTAGATCGGTTGCATACACGCTACGCCAGCTATAATGTAATTACGTTTCGCGACTGACCGCACGGCAAATCACCCGGAGTATACTGTCAATAGGTATTTTGTGTGTGAATGCAGACATTCTCCTGCTATGAGATACATGTATGCAAGGCCATCTGCTGATATTAGAGTTGATATATGGAAACTCTAGCAACTTAGTTAGCACAGTTAGCACTGTGTCAATGGCTTAGCAGTCCAACACAGTTTACACATTTAAACAGTCTTGTTTGATAAATACACAAATAACAATGCAAACTTACAGGTTGTATACCCGGATCTTCCCCTGCTCCAAACGGTCCAAACAAGCTGTGCATATCCGGCCTCAAATTGGGCAATGTTTTGGAAGCTTTCGTCTGTGAAATGCCGGTTCTTCGAACCTCTGGAGGAGGAACACGCCGCTGCTGGTGTGGCCATAGCTCTTCGGGATTGGTCCATTTCGTTCCGGGTACCGCATGACATCAGGCGGTACCCGGAAGAATCAAATGGGCAGTGACGTATCTCCAACGAGGCGTTTTGGGGAGGTATTTTCTGTGTTAGAGTTTTACTCGCTACAGGGTGTACTTTGAGGGTTTTGACTCTGCACACCGTTTACATGCATAAAAACCTTCATAACACACAAGGGGACGGGTAATAACCGGAAAAGCATGACATGGGAGCTTTAAACAAACACAAATAAGAACAAGCTTGAACCAGTATTGATAAAATACACTTTTAGAGGATTAACATTTCCTTTTTGTACACTGGGAAGAAGTTTCCCTCAGTCCTTAGACAATTACAGTACACCCATGGACATCAGGAGGACACGAACAGCACTCCAAGCGAATGGTAATGTTGCTGTGTTAGCTGGATGCGTGAAAAGACAACAGTTTACTAACACAATCACACTAACAATATGTCAACATCACAATGTGTTAATTATCTCTTTACAGCTTATTCTGCAGACCCCTATAGGCCAACAAAATCCATTAGTGCGTCTTTGGAATTTATCCTCTTGGCACCAAGAATATTAATAGTAGCTTCAATAGAGACAGAGACTAGGGAGACAGATAAAGCGACCAGCACCATCACCATGGTCTACATCAGGGGTGAAAATGGAGCAGAGGCAGATACGCAGACAGAGAGCAAACTATTAAGATGTGGATTCACGGGCAAACACCAAAACAAAGTGCGGCCAACTTTGGTACCGGATAACTCAATGCATCTCATGATATGCAGCCATCTAAAAGCAGCAGGTGTCTGTTCCATGTCTATAACAACAACCTTTCATCGACTTGTCAAGCATTTTTCAGCAGTGGCTTAAGCTCAATGCAGGTTTATGTTATCAGTTATAAATTAGTTTTTTCCTGTGTTAAAGAATATATGTGGTTTGTAAAAGTGTCATTGTGAGAATCTCACGGTCAATGTGCCGCCTTCAAAGCCTGACGGAGGATGTGTAAGTCCAAAGTTTCCTTTTAGAGAAAAAACTTTGTATTGTACTTCACTTTCACTGCACATAGCCCTTTCAGTACTGTCACCATGTTCTTATATCTCGGCTGTCTTTCTAAAGAAATGAGAACACAGTGACATACAATTCGATTGATAGGAATGATAGAGCAATCTTAGAAAACAATATTAAAGTTGTAATAGCAGAGTATAATGTTTTTGCCTTGGAACACTATTTTCGACACAAGCTTTGTTTTTACCATTACTTTCAGCTCAAATGTGCAACTTAGCACAAAAGCAATCTAGTAACATGAAAGCCAGATGTCATATGCTAAGCACATTTGTGCGCTAAAGGGTCATTAAAATCCTCCTCAGACAGATCGTTGTGTTTCAGCCTTCGAGAATAACAAACCCACCAGTTTGTGGTTTTTCCCATCCAACACTCATTCTGTGTGGTGTTGGCTACAGGGTAGGTTATGTTAGCATAGCAAACCCTAAGTCAACAGCTAGTGCTATAACTAGCTAGCTTGGTTAGCAAGGCGTATCGTTAATTCACGTGAACTGTGGTGCGTAGACAGCGACCTTGTTCTCTA